ATTAAATTAGGGGCTTTTAGCTTACATTTTTGAAACATGGTTAAAACTGTGTAGCGAATAAAACCATATTTTAAATCAATTAATATATATATATATATATATATATATATATATATATATATATATATATATATATGTATTAATTTAAAGGGTGAAAAAATGAATTTTAAATTCATTTTTCACCCTTGAAAGTGAAGTATGAAGATCCAGAGAAAAATAAAGTCTGGTGAAATAAATTATAACGAATGGAACGTTAAATGGTCTTTTTTCTTTAAAATAAATTATTCGCCGGATTATACGGATTACCAAGATTTTCGCTACTTCATCATATATATATATATATATATATATATATATATATATATATATATATATAGAGAGAGAGAGAGAGAGAGAGAGAGAGAATAATTTTTAATCCTATATATATTTTGCTACAAAATTTATTTTATAGAAAACATGTGTTTTAAACAGAAGCAACGTTTTTTTTTTTAAATTTATGTGAAATAATCAGGTAGTGTGTATTAAGACAAGTGCAATCGAGAAAAAACTAATAAAGAAAATGCAAGAGAGCACATTTACATTATATAGTCTTCTCCAGTTCTCTAAAAATAATATAGACTTATGTCGTCTGTTTCAAACAGAGGGAAATATATTAGTTTAGAAATAAATACATTTTACATTATATATATATATCGAAAGAAAATAAACTTTTCTAAATACACAATATATATATATATATATATATATATATATATATATATATATATTGTATTTATATATATATATATATATATATATATATATATATATATATATATATATATATATATATATTGTGTATTTAGAAAGCTTATTTTCTTTCAAACAGGTGTGGATAAATAATGATGTAGACATGTAATCTATGTTTATTTTTGTTTTAATTCGATGCAACGAATGAATTTCATGCTAGCTGTAAATAATTGACTAAGAAAAATACCAAAATTTTTAAAATAATTTTTATTTCCCCATGTAACTTCAGACTGATCTAAGACCATCTTCAAGGGGTTAAATTGACTGTGTATGTGTATACGTATTTCTCTATTTCGATATTTTTTAATAAATTTTCTACGGCTACCAACAAATTGATTCGTTAATTTGAAAGTAATAAAACAAAAATATATAGGTATAGCGTGTCTAAATTATTTAACTGAACGCACACATACACATACACACACACACACACACACACACACACATATATATATATATATATATATATTTAATATTAGTGATAAATATACACATACATATGCAAAATATATAGATATATATACATAGGTGCATACACATACATGTATATTTTTTTAATAAAAAATTACAAGAGAATAGAATCCAGGTAGAACTCAATGTCTAGGACAGAGTAAGGATATAATAAAAAGGCTTAAACACTAATATTCCATGGTCATAATTTATTCCATTGGAATCGTAAATACGATCCAATTCATCAGACCTACACATTCAAAAAGAAAACAGAAAAAACAACTCCGGATATAAAAATAGAATTTAGAGTGAGTGTAAATATAAGAATGAATAGTATGAGAGTGAATAACATTAGATCGTCTATGGTGTGTGTGTGACGTCTTCGCCGCGGCGTCAGCTGTTCGCTTCGCTGCTCCGTCCGGGTGTCGCTGCTCCAAACGTGACGTTCTAACCCTTTGGTTAGATTGATACCAGCCTCGCCGTTCCCAACCTGCTTCCAACGCCTGGTTACCAGGGTAACTGCACTGATCTCCAGTCTGCCTGCCCACGTTGTGAATTGATCTTAGACAGACGAGATCAAACAGGGGTTGGGGCCGTAATGCAAGCTGAGTTCAACGGGGGTGATAACACACAATTATGTATAAAAGAAAATAAAATAAAAACTCACAAAGTCCAAAGTATCAAAGAAAAAGGTAACAAACTTTTTATGTCTATTTGCTCGCTATATAGGACTATGTCTACTTCCCGACCCGTTCTGTGGATTGTGGCACGACGCTTTCACTAGGCAACTTTAAGGCTTCAAGTTGTCTGCTCCCTAAGAAATTTGTGTTTCGGTGTGTCTTTGGACGAAAGTCGAAAAACTTATTTCTGTGGTCTGATTCTAAGTCGCTCTTCAAACTACTTGTTCATGGTTGAAGAAGAGTCCAGAAGTGTGCGTGAATCTTGGTCAGCTATCTTGACGCGGTTTCAACACTGGGCGCTCATCTCTGCTTGTCGTCCAAGGTTCAAAACTTCTCGCCAGGGTCCGCGGCTCAACTCAAACTTCTTCTCTCCGGCTTGGGTCGAACGAACTTCTTCTCACCAGAGTCTGAATTACTGGTCACTCATCTCCGCCGTCGGTGCGCGAACTAACTTCTTCTCGTCAGCTTGGGTCGAACGAACTTCTTCACTTAGGCCAAACGAACTGGCCTCTCCTGCCCGCTTGGGGCGAACGAACTGATTTCTGTCGGTTGGGGTTTCGCTTTTATTGACGCCGTCAAAACTGGGGTGGGGCTGTCGGCGCCAGGGGTTCTTCGATAATTCTAAATAAGTATCCACCCTTCTTATTTCTGGTTAGGGATTTTTCATTCTTTCCCATTTTCGGTAACTCACTCTCACTCCCTTACTGTGCCTCTGAGGGGTGTGTACCTACTTCCCCACTTCTTCGTATCGGCTCCACACACTTACACTTCTGATAGGGCGTCGACCGATTTTCCTCGTGCGTCACGTGACCGCTCTCGGCCAATGAGGTCCTGGTCGGGTATCTTTCCTCCTCCTTCTTATGTCATGTGATCTATTTAGCTAATGACGTCTTAGTCGGGCGTGGACAATCCGTGGCTTTGTTTTGGGAAAGAAATACCGTGCTTAAAAAACAAAAATATTAATTAAATCGCCCTTATCATGAGCGACTGAGATGACACTCTCGGTTTTTTAACACCTGGTATTTGTCAAGCAGTTTATCGCTAATTGGATATGATCTAAGAAAGGAATTTCTCAGACTAGTTGGCATTTCTGAAGCAAAATAAAAATATTTCATTTTCCTTTTCGCTCGAAGGTTTGATAACAAAAATCTTTATTATCGCAGGGCAGGCATTTATTCTGTCAAAAGAAAAATTTTGCCAGTGAAAACATCTTGTGTGGGCTTTTTCTAATTCTGAAGACTGTCTATGTTTTCGTATTAATGGTTTGTCTTCATATCCTTAGATACACTTCCCCACCCACTTAGACCTCTACTATCATTCCAATGACACACTTTCCCACTTGTTACTTATCAATATTTTCATTGTCCCTAAACTTCGTTTCTTCTTTTCCTCCTTTCTTTCTTTTCCCCTGGGTGACATCCAATTGATAACAAACTTCCATTTTTCGTGGACACGCGGAAATCGCTCAAATGCTTGTTCCTCAGGTGACCTGAATATTTTCGACACCTGCTATCTATCAGTTCTAGCCGTGTGTGTGTGTGTGCTCGCCTATGACCTGTTTTCGTATTATTTTTTCTTTCTTTTTTCTTCGTATTCCCTTTCTTTCTCCCAATTCGCTTAAATGTAAAGAAAGAATTATTCTTAAAACCCAAAATATTTTTCGGCCTTAAATAATTATTAAATGGTTGATAAACCGTAAAAAACAAATCATATATCTATGAATATTTCTTTCAACTCGTCAGGTATGCATGGTGCCACATGTGTATGTCACCACGAAATGTATCTTTAATGTATTAGATATTGGACAACGTTCATGTTTCTCTCACTTAAACCTCTTCCACTCACCTCTCTACATTTCTCTCTCTTCAGGTTTAATCTCCCACCTTCTCTCATCTGTTGTCTCTCTCTTTAGCTCTAACATTCATCCCATACTCTCATACTTACACTATCTCTAAATTCTATTTTCATTTCCGGAGTTGTTTTTTCTGTTTTCTTTTTGAATTTGTAGATCTGATGAATTGGATCGTATTTACGATTCCAATGTAATAAATTATGACCATGGAATATTAGTGTTTAAGCCTTTTTTATATATATATATATATATATATATATATATATATATATATATGATCGATCAATTGGTATGTCGTTCTGATCAACCGATGATCGTGTATATGTGTAATACTGAATAGCGATTTAAACTGTGAGTGTATTTATGTTGTTTTGATAATTGGCGAGAAAGAGGACTCCGAATTAAGAGACATTTTGCCTTCTGGCCGAGGTTTTTAGTTTGATGACAACCAATGGCATGTGCTGATTAAAGAAGAATTGCCCCACACCACCGTGGCAGTCACTCCTGATACTATCGCTCGTCATCTTCACACAATGGGAAACCCCAGAAACACAACGCATGTGTCGCACGCCCATCGAGATCATTCATGGAAGGTAAGCAAAAACGAATGACTATATGTAACACACTAATATATATGGATACATTTGGAAGATCTGACTTCATCTGTTATCACATTCCAGTCATGATTTGGACATTTTGCATGCTCACTCCTATCCACCTGAAAGCTACCACAGAATAATAGCTATACGTTTAATATATATTGATACGCTGTGCATAAATTTTAAATAATTCAATATACTTGGAAATACAAATTAATTACTAAATAACCTGTGAAATGATAGTTTGATAATCCTTAAATATAGGTACTTCCACTAATTCGGTGTTCATAAAGATTAAAATTAATTTTTAAAAATGAAAAAAAACAAAAAAGAAAGCTTTCTTGAAACTTTAGTTTTAACATTAATTGAAAGCTAAACGATTTAACAGTTACTATTTCCAGTAAGAAAAATGCCCTGTGGCGTTTTTCTAACAGAAATTATATTGATCGAAATCGATTTTTTTCAGTAAAATCGATAAAAATCGGATATTTTTACATATTTATAAACAGGAGTTAATTCACGGTTTTAAAAATCTTGCAAACATAAAATATATATTTCTGAAACATTATTTGAGGAAAATTAACAAACTTTAGATAAATTAAGCTGATCTGAAACAAACACTATTTACGTTTAGTCGAACGTAATAACCCTGCCTGTTGCAGTTCTGTCCTGTCTCCCCGGTGGTTCTGGCCGAAAAAGAAATCCACCCGATCTTCCTCCGGTGAACTGAAGGAACCACCACCATTCACCACGTTGTGAATTCTTGATCCGAACAGCAGTGTATCGATCTTCCCAGAACGATCCGGTGGGAAGGAGAGGAAATGGCTGGGTATTTCGCTGAAAGGGAATCACTATTCATGCAGCAAAAGTTTCTTGTCGTAGTCGCAAACACATGAAAAAGAAAAAAATAAGCAACTCCTGTTCCTGTACAAAGAGCTCTATTTAGGCCACTGTTTTTTATGTCACTACCGAAGGATTTACACGAGTACAAAATGTCGAAACGAGATTCACTGGTTTGGGTCGGAAAGTCACACGGAGAGAGAGAGAGACAGAGAGAGACAGAGAGACAGAGAGACAGAGAGAGTAGGAAAATTTCTGCCTAAACAATTTCGGCTGATCTAAGGGAAGTAATTCTTGGATCTTCGTTTGCACCCTACGATACAGCAGTCTGCTTTCTCGCAGCCTTGTTGACGAAGTTATCTGGATTAGTACGGGTTCTATTTCGATCTCTTGGCTCGGATCGGTCTTCTTGACACAGGGCAACCAACAGAGCAGACCAGCAAATTCCAACATGCCGCCTCTTCCGCGTTCTGATCTCCGAACTCATCTGACTAACTCAAGCGTGCGTGCAGCTTATATTGAGAAAAGCAGAGCTAAACCATCTTTAGGCACCGCCCCCGAATTTTAATATGCAAATCGCCTGGACCATCATGTGTTTCCGCCTAATCTCCGGATCTCCGCGGGCAACCAGTTTTCAAGAGGAACTAAAATCGGATTCGGACCTCCTGCTGAATCTTCCACAGACAACGTATACTTAAATTTTGCCAAAACCACTTATCCCGTCTGGTTGAATTCCGCTATCCAAAAATCCAATTTGCCATTTATCACAAACTTAACTTTAACGAATCCATCTCTTAATCACTTTGGAATTATTACATGTAATTAACTAATAACTCAACCCCAGAAACAATTATTAAGAGAGAAACAAAAAAAAAAAAAAAAAACTTATTTCTGGAATAACTCCGGAATCCCTTCTACCCAAGTACTTAACACCTTCTTCCTAATTTTTTAGCATTGTTGATTACTAAATCCATTTCGGGTGTGTTGGCTCTACGTTACAATAGCAAAAAGTGTTGTATACAAAGATTTCTTAACTATGGGATATTGTTTTTCTGACGTGTTAATCGATTTATTGACAGCGAAATGCCCTCATATTAAGTATAGCGAAGCAGACGATAAAGTTCATAAGTTGGGGTACAACCCTTTAAGCATGTGTACTTTTAATGATAAAAGTATTGTTTTGAGCATTCATACTTCAGATATACTGCAAATAATGACACCTGCAAAAAAAATCGTAATTATTTAAAAAATATTCCTGTTCTTCAGACTGTAATTAGCTTTACAATATATAATTAGTAAATATAGTTTTACTTAATAACAATATTTCCTAAGAATTATCACATTGAAAATGAAGTTTAAAAGACATTATAAATTAATCAATTTAAAAATTGTAAGAAATGAAACGAAATCTTGTAAAAATTCATTTTTCGCCGAAAAGATTTTTCTTCAGACAATTTTGTCTTTAATATGTATTATTCATGAAAGCAAATAAAAGCTTCTCTAATTACAGTGTAGTTTATTCCCGTTTTTCTTAGTTTTATTGCGTTTTTTTGTATTTTTCATTCAGCTGAGATATTCGGTAAGAAGCGGTCCAATTTTGAAAAAAGAAAAAAAAATCGGTGATTTAAATTCTTCAAAGAATTCTGGTTTTACTTAACATAGTCACTAAAAATTATATCGGTGAATTTCTTAAATTTACATGAAACTATCTAAGGAGCTGAAACATATATATATAAAAAAAAGAATATGTTTTACCAAGATTTTCTAATAAAATAAAATTTAAAAAATAATTTAATTCATTTGTGAATGTCCTGAAAATTTCATTAAAATCCGAAAATTTGATTTTTGCAAGACTTTCCAAATTAAAAAAAAAAAGAGGCGAAAATTAATTCGGCTAATGCAAGAAAACAAGTTTTTTAATCAAAATTTCGTATATTCTAAAAAAGGAGTAAAAGAGTTAATTAAATATTAATAAATATATTGATACTTAAATATCAATAATAACATAATGTTTTTGACAATATAGCTGTTTTCTTTACTTTTGGAAGATGTTTTCATCACGATATGTTTATTTTTTACCTAAATATAACATTAATTAGATTTAATACTAGATTTTAAATGATATTGTTTAGGTTGTCATCGTTGTAATTTAAAAAGAAAGAAAACTGCTCTGGCTCTAGTATAAGTTTAGTATAGCAGGATGAGCCAAGTATTTGCTGGAGCGGTCCAGGAAAAAACCCTGAACCTTTACTAAAGCCAAAGAAAACATCACTAAACATCTCAGAGCATTCGGAGTATTTATGTTGCAATCTAACATAATTTTATACTCTTTTTAGATTAGGCGTTGTTAATGCCTGAAAATGTCGGCAACTGTGCAAAATGAATTTACATATTTCTCGTTTTATTTTATTCTTTTCTCTTTTCTTCGACACGTTTGTTTTTTATCGATAGCGTCTACTTTATTCTTTATTTTCTTTTTTACCTTCATTTTTATTCTTTGTTTCTTTCTTTCATTTATCTTTCTTTCATCCGTTCCTTCTATCATCATTTCCTTGTCCATATCTCCTTTCTAAATTCCTTACCTTTTTTTACATTATATTTTTAATTTCTTTTCTCCCATTTTTCCTTTTCTTTTTTCTTCTTTCATCTTTCCTGTCCATATTCTTCCTTTTCTTTTTGATTTATTTTATGTTTTTTTGTTTCATTTATTCCTTCTCACATTTTCCTTCTTTCCCGTTTTCTACTTATCTATGGATATAATCATCTCGGCTTTCTAGAATAATCCTTCGCTTAATTATTATCCTCATCCATCTTTTAATTTAGCAAGATAACATATTGGATCTCTACGATTCATTGATATTACATAATCCCCAAACTTAAACAATTGCAAAGGCATTACTACATTTGTAGCAAGACGAATTTTGCCGTCGATAGATTGATGTTTTTGCATATATTCAGATTTTATAGGATATTAGAGATACGCCGATTAAAACAGCAAAACAAGAGTCGATAAATATGAATATTTATTTGTCAGAGTGTTGTTTGTCATCAAATATGTGTTATGATATCCCTGCAGGGTAGCGTTTAGTGTCTTACCACCTTAGGTGTTGCTGTTTTTAGGTTGTAGTTCAGAGTCTCGAAGGGAAAATATCAAAAGACAAAATGACGAATGGACCAAATGTCAAAAAGACAAAGTATCGTTTAATAAATAATAGCATTAAAAGTGATTAAGCCTCCATAATTAAGGTTAGAAGTCAGATTTGTGGGCAGGGGGTCACTTATGGTGAACAGACAAGGTGTCGAACGGACTAAGTATCGAACGAACAAAGTTTCGAACGGAAAAATAGTCGGACGGACAAAGATAGTAATATTAAATGAATACAAAGCTAAGCAGCAAAAGGTTTAGAATTGAATATTTGAACCGAGCTTTTTAAAATCATGACGATATGTTCGATTTTCATTTGTTCAATATTTTGTCTTTTTGAAACTGTATTTTCGACATTATGTACATCCGTCATTTTTTCAATTCGTCATTTTGTCTATTCGACACTTTGCTTGTTTTATACTTAGTCCGTTCGCCACTTTGTCCGTTCGCCACTTTGTCTGTTCGACATTTTGTCCATTCGACACTGCTTGTTTGATACTTAGTCCGTTCGACACTTTGTCTGTTCGACATTTTGTCCATTCGACACTTTGTTCGTTTTCTACTTAGTCCGTTCGACACTCTGTTCGAAAATTTGTCCATTCGTCATTTTGTTTTTCGACACACTGTCTGCGCACCGTTGCTCCGGTTTCAAGTAGGTGTTTACTGTCACAATTTGCAAGACCCACAGCAAACTAATTCGATTTAAGTGTTGCTTTAATCAAGCCTTGCTGCTAACAAATAATAGTTTTATTATTAAGCCATACTCTGGGAGGGAAGAGATAGATTTAAATAATTCACAAGGAAGTCAACAACCTTGACTGGAACTTGAAATTGGCGCGTCGATACAACTTTACGATCATTATTCCCGTAAACCATTACGGGCAATACGTGTACTGCAGCCGTGACAACAATGATGTGCATTTGGCAACATAGCCTAACGGATCCATATGCTCTCCAGGCTGGTTTGATTTCAGAGTTTTTCATTCAACTACACCAGTCGCCAACCAAGTTTTTAGATTCCAGTCTATCTTGCTATTTATTCATATATCATGTGTAAGGGGAAAATAGATGGATACATACCTTCCTCAAGGATATTTGCTTGTTAGTGAATGTAATGAGCACTATTGTAATTCGAACTCATCTCTCCGATTCCTCAATCCGAACCACTATCAAATACTCCACCTTGATCCATCTAATTCCACCGAGGATAATCGCACCGCTAATATCAAATCATTTCAATCGCAAATCGATTTCAAATAGATTGAACTGTATCTCAAACAACAAAAATATTTAATTTGATAAATGTACGCAGTAATTTGCCTTTAATTGTAAATGACTAAGGTGCATTTAAATTTCAGCATGATCGCGTTTTCGTATGAAAATATTTTTCGGTTGGGAGAAATCCGGAAATAGTTTGTATTTTATATAAATGTTTTGCTAACGAATTTGGCAGTCATAAAGAGTCAATCAATAGATGTTTCAGAAGAAATAATTGATGACAGGCATTAGTGAGAATAGTCGCTCTCATACAATAAATATTCCTCATTAATTGAACGAAGATCTAGTACCTCTATTGGTTGGACTTTAGAAAATATTTCTCTTTAAATAGTTATTCAAGAAAAAAGGCTCCTCAAGTTTATTCTTGTGGTTCCTTCTAGTAATTATGGGATTTTCCTTCTTAAACTTTTATTTAAGGTAGTGTGGAAAGTCAACACTAGGATCATATTATTTGCATTTCTATTTATATATGTTTTCCATTTTAGCTGTAGCTTTCATTATTTGGTAAGATTGTTCTTATGTTATTGTGCAGTGCCAGTTTATGAGATCTGATGAAGTACCGTCTTCTTTCAAACTTTTAATATTCAATAGCTGGAAGCAATGTTTAATGATTGAACCGAGAAAACTGTTTTATGTAGCTGATATTTTACACATGTCTGAGCGCTAGACATTATGCAGAACACACATGGGAATGTCTATATCTGACGAGGTTATTTAAAAATATAACTAGTTCTTAGGTTAATATTTTGGCTTAGGAGGATTCCTGAAGAAGATACTGAATGAAAGCAAGAGGGAAGGACAAAACAGCCACTGCAAGAAGATAGAATGTATATTTATTTGCAAAGGGAAGAGCCCATCAGCCAAAATACAAAATGGATATACCAAAATCAAACATTACAAAAATTTAAATATCTGGGAAGGGCTTTAACAGAGGACGAAAAATGCGGCGCTGAAGTCTAAAGGTGTATAGGGATAGCGAAAGATTCATTCTAAAAGCTAAGCCAATATTACGAAACAGAAAAAAAAATCA